TCAATTACTTTAGTAATCGCACTATAGCAATCTATGTTGTAACTATCTCTGAATTACTAATAAAGATACGAGCAAGGTCTCACCTTAAAACCAAAAAAAAAAAAAAAAAAAAAAAAAATTATACCTCTGGATAATGAAATAACTACTCATATTCTATATTTAAATCAGTTTAGTTTAGCTTATAAACAGATATTTTCTTTTGCAAAACATACAATAAATGCAGTACAAAATTGGTTGAAGAATAAAAAGGCTTGTGTGAGTCTCTGTTTAAAAATATGATACAATACAGAGACAGTATAAAATAATTTTAAGCTTTAAAATTTATACTAATATGTTTTTTTTGTTTAGTATATATGTTATAATGGTTAAGTTTTAATAAATATATTTTTTTTTAAAGTATATATAATATAGTAATAATATAATAAAAAATTTATTCTAAACTGCTAGAATAAGATCAGTGTAGGACCAATATGAGTTTATTTTTTAATAGAGATAAACTAGTTTTTAACTAGTTCTGGACTAGACTTTTTAGAGACCAGGTTAGGACTAGACCAGATAGACTATTTGTAATTTGTAAGAAACATGATTATATACTTATATAATTGGTTATAGTTAGTTAGATTATATGTATATAAATTTTAATTAGTAAACTTAATGCAAAATCTACTATAGTTTAATAAAATAAGACTATAATTTCAACAATAAAATAAGTATGCAATTTTATACCAATACAATTACATAAAATATGGAGAGATAGTTCTGTTTAACTTTTTAGTGTTCTATATTTTTTCTGATTTAAAAAGTATTATAATTATCATTTTTTCTATTTTGGTATGTAGGTATTATGAAAATATCATTTATATTGTACAAAATTTGCAATTATTACATTATATCTTATGGTAGAAATATTTAATCATTATCTATTTATATATTTTTCTCTGAGTTTGTGTATTTTTGATTTGAGTTTGTGTATTTTTGATTAATTGCATTCAAAAATATGATCAAATTGTAACAAGAATGTGATAATTATGTAATGAAATCATTCGATTATTGCATCCAATCAAAATCAAGATTTTGCGGACGAACGCAAAACTTTGTATTAAACCATGCACTCCGTACTTTGTACTACGTTCCTGGTATACACTACGTGATATGCATCACTCAGTTCCTGGTATACCCAAAAGGTGGTTGCATAAGCGAAATTTTGTGCTATCCCTTAAACCGTTTCTTCCCCAAATTTGCCCCCAAATTTTTGAAATTTGATTTGTGATTCATGTAGTACTTGTATCATAAAAAAATAATGGGTTTGTCTATTTAATCTAAAAATCTCTAACTTTGCTTATTTAGAAATTCATTTATTTTTAGTGTCACATAATGTATTGTTCCTCTTTTTTGAAGGATCGCTAAAGGCCCGTGATCACGTGATCACGAAGTTTTAATTATAATTAGGGCTAGGATTAGTTAATATTTAAGGTGAGAGTAGGTATATAGATAAAATTGCCTTCACGACCTTTTTTGTTAATGCACTAAGGCAGATTTTGACTACCATTTTTCATATTTTTGCGATTTTCTGATTTTTGACTTCTTCGGTCTGATTCGTGTAAACAAATTTCATGATTTTTATTGGTTGATCTACATATATAAAGTCACTTGGTTACAAGGCATTGGCAGATCACTAAATTTGTTCGAAATAAGTCAAATTATACATACACACGGACAAAACAGGTCAGAGTTACAGATGATTGACAAAGATCATCTTGTGCTACAAAAGAAATTTGACTTACTCATTAAATGATTATACCCACAAAGTCACTACACAGTATATCATAAACGGAGCGGTTCCTGCGTTTGGTTCTGGTTTAAAAATATGGCAGAGCAAGGAAAATACAATAAAAATTCACTACAAAGTCAGGTGTGGTGCACAGTATATAATTTGCCTTTATAACTCAATAAACAATGTCCAGATTGTTTTATTGAGTATCATGAATGTAAATAAAATAAATAATGTTTTTATACCGTGATGTAAAGTTTTGTATCATATTCCTATTATTTTGTCATGGTTGAAGTATAAGTGAGCATCAGAAATTTGGGCAAATTTGCCCCCAATTGACAAACAATAAACGATTTTCAAAGAAAGCAATAATTTTACGTTATACCTGGTCGTGTAACCTGATTATGAGCATATTATCTAATTGATATCATTTGAAATTTGACCAAAATTCAATCTTCATAATAAATAAAATCATATGATACTAGCAAATAAAGAAGATAAAAAATAAAAAAATTTGAGCGTAAAACCGGTTTAACTAAATAATAACCACATGTAAGTTCAATTCGATTTTGGATTCTACAATCGGCTCAATCTTTGTGTGCTTGTGCAGGTTAAACCCTACTCTCAAACACAACACCAGCTTTACCAGGTCTTAGCGTCCCAAGAAGAGATCCAAAATGCTGCTTGTGTTTCGCATTTTCATGTTCAGCTTTGATATTATAATTTAATATAATGTGATGTAGAAAGATCTTTGCCAGAACGACAAAAAAAAATCTACCTATACAGGTCGATTTTCCAAATCCAAATACCAAGTTATTACGATCTATTTTTGTAGCAGGAAAATTATGGCGGTATGCATTGAATTCTTGAGGATTCTGACCCTGAAATTCGTATTATTTATTTTCTGGGAGCTTAAAAATTACAACAGAGATTCCCGATGATCATAGGATACAAACCACCCTAGCGTCACCCAAAAAATCAGTTACGTACCGGAATTTAAAATTGAATATCAGCACCCAAATAACGATTG